CTGATGTCTGCCTATGAAAGCTCGCCGTAAGCTTGGAGACTGACTTCTCTGATAAGATGGTACAGAGCTTCTCTATCACACCTCTTCAACAAGACCGTGGGCAGCGCTTTTCCTTTTTTACTCTGCTTATATACATGTTGAAGAACCCAGGTGGTTTGGGCCAAACCAGAAGAAAAGGAACATTTCAGGCGAGAAGTTCAGCATCCAAGTTTCAAGGAGGTTGAGGCGGTTCAACCTCCCATTGTGCCGTTGTCATTACATTTGTACTTGTTTATATATGTGCACACCTACAAACACATGCCAGATCATAAATAAAGCAAACACAGAACAAGAAGAAAGTTTTTGTCTAGGACTTTGGACACGTGCATTCATGATTAAAATCTGCTTATGTGTAAACAGGCTTACATCAACCCATTTATCTTATTGCTTTACATGGGCTTGGTTATAGCCATGGGCTTCTTGCTTTATACGAGCCACAGGTTCCCAGGAGCCCTAGGCTCACATAAGATTGTGTTGTTTATTATATATGTATTTACCTGGTAAAATGAGTCGATAGCCTCTCGGCTAGTACCAGGGGAGAAGAAAATGTGGAAGGGGGTGTTGAAACAGTGTGTCAGCATGCCCCCATTGGTTTTGAACCTGTAGGGGCGACCTTTCTGTGGGATGCTAGTACACTGTTTGGGTCCTCGGCAAGCCGGCAAGCACATGTTGGGCAGGGCTCGGCTTGATGCACCCTCTTATGCGGCACCTCGGGGCACTTGTAGCCTCTTGCCCCACCTTTACGCCACTGACTAAAGCACAGGCAACATGAGGCAAGCTACCCCACACACTTGATGACATACAAAAAAAGCTCACAGACCCGCACAAATCCTCATGCAACCACATTGTAAAATGAAGTGCTACTCGCTTTAAAGGGTGGAGTGTCAGCGCCCTCACCAAAAAGAAAAAAACGGCGGCAACTGTCAACTCAGTGGTGACACGACGCAACATGCCGCACTTTTTTTTTTATGCAGCAGCCGTAGTTGGGGCTACCTAACCTAGCCGGTGGAAAATGCATAAAGGCAGTGATGTTCCGAGCAGGAACTTATTTCTTTTGCAGAGAATTAGTATGCATCACTTTGGACCAAAGAGAAAAGGAAACCTTTGCAACATTGCAGGGAATTTGAGGAATCGAATTCACTCATGAGAACCAGTACATAGCTGTCACTGCTGAGGGCCTTCGGCTCCTGCATTTAGTTCTGGTGGAAGTGGCATGCAAGCACCGCACTGAAGGTTTCTTTCCCAATACTAATATTTTGCGTCTTCTAGTTCATCCGTAGTGTTACAATCGAAAGCTGCTACCTGGAATGTTCTTAAAGCCCATGAGTTATGAATGCCATACTTTTGTTGTACATCAGCGCAGGCACTGCAGTCATCATTTCAATTGTCTGAAACACGTAACATACATACATTATATCATGTGTGTATGGGGGTGCTCGCGCATATTATTACTACTCGGCAGGGAATCATTACTATTATTATATTATTACTACTGTTCAGGTTTTCGCATTTTGCCATGCCCACAATGTGCATGCGCGGCAGTTAGTCGAGTGCTAATTTTAGATCTATATTTTTTGTTCAAGTGATAAAGCTTTCAGATGCGAGTAAGCTCTTGCGGCCTTCACTTTTTTTGGCTCTTTGTGCTTCTTTCAAGTCTTTATGTGTAGGGAATTATGCGGGAAATTTCGTCAGCATATCCATGGGAAAATGCACTAAATAGGGAACTTTGTCTTGCATTTGTTGAGCCTAGCACAGAACATCAACGCATGGAGGGGCTTCAGTCTAGCCAATGCGTAAAATGTCCTAAATGAAAAGAAAAACGCAAGGACATCGCACAATTTTCATGTTTTCAAGAACCACAGCAAAGGAGAGCAGTCGTAATGCTGAAAAAATGATAGAGAACGAAAGGACACAGAAGGGGTTGGTAGGCATGCCTCAAGAGGATTGACTTTCATATAAAAAAAATCTTATCAGCATTTGCTGAGCTTCATACTTGCTCTGTATACAGGAGACTTCTATGGCAAAGTAAGCTCGCCTACAAAAAAAGGCGTCGGTACCTCTTTAAAGGAATAACACAATGTCCCCGATGCTTTTCCTAGCTCTACTATCTGTTCGTTTTATTTGATGTGCCTAACAAAAAAATGAGCCCTTTCTTCACAAGCACAGCAGGAGTCACTCAGAATTGGCACAATAGCAACGGTGATTGGCCAATGTGAGAAGCCAATATGTTTCTGCCAATATGAGCATCAGTTTCATTTTGCCACTGACATTGCTACCACCACAGCTAAAATTCGCCTTTTCAATTTGTTGTTTTGTATTCTAACGTACTTTTGAAAAAGCGTCGTTTATGCCTAAAGGCTGCCAAACACAAAAAATCGAATTGTGCCATTCGCCTTGCTTCTTTCCCACTTTCCAGCTGTGCTTTGAAAAGAGCGTTTCGAAAATGCTCTTGACAGCAAATATGTACCACAGTCATGCGAAAAGAATTTGTTTTATTTCTTTTTGTAGCACAATAACCACTTGCTGGGTGTGTTCTTTAATGAACCAGCAATCCAAAACAGTTCAGTTACGAAAGTGTATATTTTGTAAAATACTTCTTAGACCAACATCAACGCACATCGCTACTTTCCTGAGAGCAAGTGCACCAAGTTGAACCAACAAACAGGTGCACTTGAAGTGGCAAACATGGCTATATCGCAAGTGTCCACTTGGGGCTCGCCTCTCATCTTGATGTGGCCAATTTGAAGATGAAGAATAAGGCTTTCCATGAGACGTCAAAAACTTTTAAAACTTTTGTTTGCATGATGACAGGCACACCCTTTTATTAAAGTTCCATGCAAGAAGAACATAGCAAGCTGCGACAAGTTTTTAGGTACTATCATTTGTAGCTCGAGCCATCGTGAAATCAACAAATAGAGAGCACATACGGCAAAAAATGAGGGTTAAGAAGCTTGTACTGTAAACGAAATAAGAAATTGTTTTACAATACCATACATGTACAAGAAACACAATATAAAAATGCAACAATCATTGCAATGCTAACAACAGTAGTATAAAACAAGCTCCTTTCTTTTCCTATTGCATCAAAATGTATCACAGGCAGAATAGTTAGGCTACAAGTAAAGCAGACAAACAACAACAACATCCCACTTCAAGCAAGTGCACTTTTCAGGTGAAGGTAGCACATAGACAACATGGAGAAGGAACATATTGCAGTAAAAGCTCATCAATTAGAAAAATTGGATAATTGGACGTGTTCTGTGGTCCAGACAACCAGGTACATGGTTCAATGACATGAGACTCTCACTAATTACGTCACATTTGGCTGCAATTCCGTAAATTCAAACAATCATAAAAGCATGCCAACCACGAAGAGTGGCCAAAGCAGTCAGAACTGCATTTGCAAAGAGCCAAAACTGCTGCAGGCTTTCAGAAATACGTGGTCAGCATCCGCAATCACATTGTTGGTATACTATTTCAGGGATCGTTTTGGCTGTTGTGTTCCCATTGTGTACAAAGTCGCAAATGGGAAAAACTCCAGCTTTTGCACTGCTCTAATGCAAAATAATACAGTACTTATGTATTTTACAAGAAAATGAATGTGCATTGATAAAACACACTGGTTAAATGTTTTCTTGATACTTTTGATAATTTGGCATTCAGTAGATTCAGTCAGTGGTTCTAGTTCTGTGAAATATGAATGAATGAGCTTTACTTCTATAAAGACACAGTGTGGTTATCCTTTTCATGCACTATATGTCTGCCTTTTTAATTCATGCATCTGTACTGTAGCACCTTTTTCCACGACTCTTATCACGAACAAAACTGAAATAAGCAGTTTTCTGTAGCAACTGTGCAAATGATGTTTATCCTGCTCAGCTTGTACACAATAAGTATTTGAACTAGTAGTTGTAAAGATGATAGTTTGCATCATATTTTCGGTTAATAGTTTACACAATTCATGATATGTGTATATAGTGTCATATAGTTAATAATGTTATAAATAATAGAGCTGCTCTTACAGTTGCCAATGAACAAGTTCATGACAGTAACACTGGAGGTGTAATTTTTACACAATGCAAGTTTCCTGGGCTGTGTTATGTCAATGTTGCCCTTAAATACCACAACATGGAAGCAAAGACAGCCAAAGGTAGTAGATGGCCGAGTAGGTAACTTTCTAAGGATAACTTTTCATTTTAGTTGAAGTTTGGTAAGCAATAAAAAATTTGTGAATACTTGATAGAAAATGACCTGTTTATCAACAAGCATTTACAATTGATTGATTGATATGTGGGGTTTAACGTCTCAAAACCACCATATGATTATGAGAGACTCCATAGTGGAGGGCTCTGGAAATTTTGACCTCCTGGGGGTTCTTTAATGTGCACCCAAATCTGAGCACACGGGCCTACAACATTTCCGCCTCCATTCGAAATGCAGCCGCTGCAGCCGAGATTCGATCCGCGACCAGCGGGTCAGCAGCCGAGTACCTTAGCCACTAGACCACCACGGCGGGGTACAAGCATTTACAAGCAATGAATGTACCAGTTCCACAGTGTTTGTGTATATGCTTTATATGGCAAACTCAAGACACCTTACTCAAGTTTTTTGAAGATTGGGGAAAAAAAACCCAGGCCTGCGCTGAATTCGCAGCATTGTCACAGTAAATGCTAGAATAGCAGCCTTTCAGACCATTTTTTAAACACTCTTTGGGTAGCTGCTGCAAGCACACTTGCAGGATAACCACTATGCCATTATTCATTGCATAGTAGGCAGGCATTCACTATGCCATCCTTTGTTATTCTTCAGAGAGGCGTGGTACCTGCTATACATTTGCAGGGAACTTCGTGCAGTATTTTTGTGCTGTGGCTGACGACGAAAAATTATGCCGGAAGCTTTTGTAATCCCCACAATTCCCCACAGTGGGTATTGGCCACAGTTAATAGGTGAACAAGATGAAGCTTTTGTAAATGGTTGGAGCGTTCGACGACTCACTCATTGTGCAATTCGCATTATTTACCAACCGTTTGTTCATCCACTTTTCTATACACTTTAACATGATTCCTTTCCCTACATGAAGCCTGCTTAAGGCCAGTTTGCGAAGAAGCTCCAAGCACCAGCATGGCTTAGTGGTGCAATACTGGGCTGGCATGCAGGGGACCCAGGTATGAATCCGATTATTTCCTCGGTGCTTTTTATTCACTGAGTTTTTTTTTCTTATTTCGTGCAATAGTGGTTACAGGCACCGGTGGCGGCGGACAACTACGGTGCGCATGCGGCTCGTTTCGTGATCTCATAACAGCTTTTGTTGTAAAACGAAGGTCAGCTCATACCTTCATTTCCATTGCTCTTAAAGGGTTTCCAAGTCTCACTGGCGCTTTTTCATAAAGACATACCTAACATCGTGAGCGCACAGCCATGAAATAGCATTGGAAATGAAAAAGCATGGCATAACAAAAAAAAAGACATTCTCACTGCTTTAAAATAAAGAGAAAAATAATAAAAAAATATCCATCATTCCCAACAAGCACATCTAGAAAATGACTTGGCACTTATTAACAGCACGAAATGCTGTGAGTACGGCAGTGAACCACGTTGGGTAAATAAATGCATATTAGTACATTACGTTGCATCAATCTCTAAGGCCCAGTTCGGTGACCTTTCTCTGTGCGTAGCTCATGACGATCATGCTGGTCCCATTAGCAACAAAGCTTCGTATTGATCCCGGGGCAAGACCGCGGTACATGGCAGTGAAGCCACCTTTCTGTCTGTAGACCGACTGCATCCTCTGGAGGAGGGACACCTTCCTGCACAGCACAACCACCTCAACTTTTTAATCAAACTTTCTATGGCAATTTAGAGATTGACTAGTGTCTAACAATTGGCACATTGCAAGAGCATATGCACTAGAAGAACATTACAGGCTACTACAAAGAAAAATTAAGCCAGACTTCACTGTACTATCAGATTATTATTCATGTATAAACACTTCATACACATACTACAATGATTATTTGCATGCAGTCACATACGATATGATCTCTACATATTTTTTGCAGTATTACTCAGACACGCTGAAATTATGACCACACCTTGCATGCTTGTACTGTGAACACAGCATGCTACCAATGCAAGACTCTTGAGCTGCCTGGAGCACTGAAGATCGTCTAAGTTATTTTGACAAAATAAATCCTGGTTGACTTGACCCATAAAAGAACACAATTGTGGCAGTTTGGGAAAGTTCGTCCGACATGATCAATAAATTTTAAGTGCACAAACAGACGAGAACCACAAAATATGCATGATGCACAGGCACTAAAATTTAGCACTTGATTGATGCCAGTGGAATGAATTATATAAGGGCACAAGTGACCTTACTTGACACCAGCGCACAAGGCATAAGATCATAAATGAATTTGGATATATCGGAATTCTTTGAAAGATGGAGTGATCGGTGGCTTGTTCGCACATTTATTTCCTAAACTACTTATCTAGCTTTTCACCTTGATTATTCGCCGAGCGAGTCTACTTCTGCTTCTTGTTACAAGTGCATCCATTGAACACTGGTAAACACATTCGGCAAGCACTCTCAAATTATGACAGGTAGATTGCCACTATCCCTCAAGAGGAAGGTATATAACAGCTGTATCTTGCCGGTACTTAGCTACGGAGCAGAAACCTGGAGACTTACAAAGAGGGTTCAGCTTAAATTGAGGACGACGCAGCGAGCAATGGAAAGAAAAATGGTAGGTGTAACCTTAAGAGACAAGAAGAGAGCAGAGTGGATTAGGGAACAAACGGGGGTTAAGGATATCATAGCTGAAATCAAGAGGAAGAAATGGACATGGGCAGGGCATGTAGCGCGTAGACAGGATAACCGCTGGTCATTAAGGGTAACTGACTGGATTCCCAGAGAAGGGAAGCGGGTTAGGGGGAGACAGAAGGTTAGGTGGGCAGATGAGATTAAGAAGTTTGCGGGTATAAATTGGAAGCAGCAAGCACAGGGACCGGGTTAACTGGCGGAACATGGGAGAGGCCTTTGTCCTGCAGTGGACGTAGTCAGGCTGATGATGATGATGATGATGAAACACTTCTTTTCCACAGGGGAGGCAGTAGTGGAATCACCACTACAGTCGCACCCCCTTATAAAATACGCTGATACTATTGGGTGTACGAGACTACTGTGCGCTTACATTAAAATTGGGGTTGATACAAAACTGCATACTTGGTACCCTGCTTATAAGAGACAACTCATATAAAAGAAGAGAACTGCTCCGTGGTTTATGTCTCTTATAAAGGGCCTCAACTGGATCATCACAACCGTCACAGTTCCTGCAGTGAACATCTAAAAACCCTCCGCACTTCTCAACAATTTGGCAATGTTCCTTGAGGCGACTGTTTACACACCTCCCACATTGTCCAACATAGCTTCTGCCTCATGGAATAGGCTAGCTGTAGTCTGTACAATCGATGAACTCCTCTATGTCTCATCTTGCAATGTAAGGGGAACTGGGGCTCGTCATTTTGCACAGTTTTCAAAGTTCCTCAGGAGAAGGAAAAAACACTTCTACAATGGCCTTCAGCGCGATTTCATAAATGATGTTATATGCCATGAATATACGGAATGACAGCAAGCTTCTTCTGGTCAATTAACACCCTGGAATGCATCAGCCTGTTCTAACGACCTCTTTTGCAGCATGCCTTCAGCGACACTCACCAGTAACTGAGTGGGATAAACGAAATCCCATAGCCGAAGCATTTGCTAGTGAAAAATGACGTCCATTAGTTCTGAGCATTATTTATATCCTGGAATGTGTCATCAACAAGTAATAGGCTGAGTAATCTCTGAAGATGTAGAAAGCTACAGATCTTTGCCAGGTGTGACATTTGGAAACGATTTCCCTGAAAGGAGCGTAAGCCTTATGTGTTTTCACACTAAAAAAAAAAGAAAAACTCAGCCTATTACCTGTTGATGACCTGTTCCAAGTAAAAAATTGTGAAGCAGTTTTCGACTTTGTCAAGTCTTTTTCACACAAGGGCCTCGGAGCATTTTTTGCAGAGCTTAAGGACCCATTATGTTCTTTAGTGCAACGTGACATGCTTTCCTGTGTTTAAGACTGTATTGCCAGATACAAAAATGCAGCTTTCCAGAAGGCGTGCGATAAATCGAGGGGTGCTTTTCTGGAGCTTATTAGTCATTACCTCTGATCTCCATTTACCTATACAGTTCAGCCCTTTTCTGGAAAAGTCGAAGTATGTATAAGCTCGTGTATTGCCCCCAACCTCTATGGTTTATTCTTAGCTAAAGTAGATGGAGGATACAGTGTCTGCCTGGCAAATTTCAATGCAACTAAAGCTTTCTGATTCATAGATGATTTCTTAATATTCCTTGAGGATAGCCATCACTCCTTTGAATCACTAACCAATAACTTGCTCACCCTTGTACGTGGAAGCCTAGCAGCGCTAGAAATAACTCAGAAAATGTCATGAAATAACATTATATTTCTTGATAACTTTGATTTAGTGACAAGTGGCTGTACCAAAAGTACGAGCCTCGTCCTAACAAACCATTGCTTCCTTATGACTCTGCCCATTCCTAGCTAGTTAAAAAGGGGCATCTTCAAGTTATGTACAGTAAAACCTCGCTAGTTCAAAGTCACTGGAGACGAGAAAAATTTTCGGATTAAGTGGGTTTTTGAATTAACAGAACATACAAACAATGGGAGGCAAGGAACTCACAATTATGCTAAGTAATCAGGACAGATTGTTTGCTCTGCCGGCTAGTTTACGGCTCCAATGGTTATGTTTGCCCGCAATACCTGGCCTTAATTTTTGCAGCAAACACGGAGGAAGGGAAGTTCTTGCTGCTGCTACCAGAAAGAAAAAGAGAAAAAGATAACGCTGTCGTGATCAAATGAAATATGCACCTGCGGAAAACAAGATGCGCTTCACTGCAACACACAAGTGACACGCGGGCAGCATGTCGCCTGCTCTTTGCTGCGTCAGTACGTCATGATGTGACCATTCAGCTATTCTTTCTGTTAAAATAAAAAAAAATAATAAGGGCCAGTGTGACGAAACTCAGGATATGTTTTGGCTGGAAAAAATAATCTTTAAAGCTTTTGAACTTATTTTTTGAAGTAGGTGTTGCAGGCAACAACTTCGCCACCAGTGCAAGTGCACAAATTGCTGGAGCCACCGGCAATCGGATGTTCGCATACATTGAGAATCCCCTTGAACTTTCCTTTATTGAATTTCTTTACAATCCAAGAAAAAATGGGTAAATCATGACGCACTGACGCAGCCAGAAACATGCAATATGCTGCCCGCGTGTCGCTAACGTATTGCAGTGAAGATGTTTTCCGCAGGTGCACGTATTGGTTTGCCACGAGATCTTCTCTTTTAATTTTTTTGCACTGGAAATCGTGGGGCTGTGTTCCTTAAGCTGCCAGTCATTAGTATCGCAGCGATGCATTGCCTTATGGCTTTAAAGGCAGTCGTTTCCAGATTTGCGGCGAAATCGAGATTGGGTGGCATATGGCACCCAAAGTTTTTGAATAAACCAGACTGGTGCTGACCGCCGCTTCAAGTTATTATGTACGAGCATACTGGCGGGAAGAATCCCGCGGCGGCATCCTGCCCATCGGTGCTTCCACTCGGCAGCCAGTGGCACGCTGTCCACATTGGCGGCACCGCAAGAAAAGCGAGACAAGAATGGACACGTTGAGGCGCACGATGTGATGCTTGAATGGATGTATCTGGCTGTGCCGTTTAGATCGGGCGGTGGCTCACGCCACCTAGCCATAAAGTTAAGTATTATCGCTACGTGTATAAAGATTGAATTTTACTCGCGCCTTGATTGTAGCCACCAATAACTTAACCTCCTCTTTATTTATTCATTCTTTATTCAATGATTACCCCGCTTAGCCCGAAGGCGCTGCAGCAGAGGGGTTACAATGTCGAGAAAAACACATCTTCATTAATACAGCACACTTGTTCATTAGATAAGTGATTCCATTCTCTAACGGAACGAACAAAAAACGAATTAGCACACAAATTAGACCTGGTACAGTACTCTAAAATCTTGAAACAATGATCTTTTCGCGAAGAGATATGATGAGGACTGTGAAGGTTCTTTTCTTTTCGAATGCCGGTTTTACCATGAAATATTTGGTACAGGAGCTTTAGCCGCAGTTTCTTTCGACGCAATGAGAGTAATTCCCACCCTAGTTCATTTTCCATATTGGTGGAACTGTCATTTCTTGAGTACCGGCTTAGGACAAACCTTGCAGCTCTATTTCGTATTTTTTCAAGTTTGTAACTTAAAGTACTTTGCCAGGGGTCCCACACGGCACAGGCGTATTCAAGCATAGGGCGAATGTATGTTGAATACGCCGTTGATTTCAAACATGCCGGCGCTTGTGTCAGGCTGCGCTGTATAAAATTTAGTGACTTGGCGGCCTTCGCAACAACTCAATCAACGTGTGCATTCCATGAACAGTCGGCTGAAAAAGTTACACCTAAATATTTATAATGCGGTTTTTGTGTTTCTATACTATCACAGATTACATACTCTGAAGCTAACTTGGTTCTTTTACGCATGAAAGTAACATGAATGCATTTATTGGCATTTAATGTCATTTTCCACCTTGAACACCATTCTTGGATGCGCGATAAGTCGCTTTGGAGCAGGGCGAAATCACTCTCATTTCTAATTTTTCTGCACAAGACACAGTCATCTGCAAACAACCGTATATTAGAATCGATTCCTGAGCAAATGTCATTTATATATATTAAAAATAAAAGT